TTTGTTTGTTTAAAATTATAAATCTGCGTAGATGATTCTATCAAGCTTAGTATAATGTTTAAAGATATGGTAAGTAAAGTGCTTTAAGAAAATCAAATTTATGCTAAATGCTATTTTTTAGCTAGAAGTAGAACTAAAAATGAAAATAAATGCAGGATATAAGAAATTAAGAATTTTCCATTTTGAGGTTTAAAATTTATTTCTTGAAGACTAATGATGTCTAAGTTGTAAAAGGAATACAATAACAAAGGATGATGTTATTTGATAATATTAGTAAAGATCAAACATTATATATTACAAATAAAAGTTTTGGTATAGATGAGGTTGAATTTAAAGTAATTGATTTAGTAAAAGAAGAATTAATATAGTTTCTGATAAAGATAGTATTCATAATAGTATTTTAAAATTGGAAATGCTATCAAGAGCCTTAGAAACATCTGTATCATATGTAGTATTTAAAGCATATGCTATTTCTATCTTTTTGACTAGAATTAAACTATTGTGAATAAGGGCTATTCTAAAAAAGTTATAAGAGTTAACCAAAGTATTAACTGTTTCAGTAAAATTTTTAAGTATAGGTTTTATATATCATTTATTTTTTTTAAAGTTGTTATAGTTTTCTTTTATTTATTGATTAATGATATAAAGACATTGATTATAAGATATCATTACCTCGCTAAAAAAGGAAATGATCTATTCTAAAAATCTTATGTGCAACCAAACATTATGGCCTAAAGTTTATATAATTAGTAGATTATGATCAAAAGATATTAACTGATAAAATTTTTTTATTATATCATGTCCTCTTCTCCTTTAAAACGAAATGCTGCATCATTAATAAACAATAAAAAATTGATGATAATTAACCTTTATAATTATTTCTCTGGGGTTAGTTCTGTAGGAAGAGACCATCAGAAGCTTATATTATGCAAGCGAGTTGCTGAGGTATTGGGCATTTCTGAGTGTACAGTTGGAAAGGTGATATTAGATTAGAAAAAACGTAACGACGGTACTTTTACACTACATAAAACTCTTAGAAGACTGAAATCTCAATCCAATGAGAATATTTGGAACTTTTACATGTGAAAATTTTAAATGCTAACAAAACGGCTGAGCAAATTTCTACACCTATTTTATGTTAATATTTTTCTGAACAAGGATATACATTTTCTAAATGGCAGCTTCTTCAGCTATTACATCATTTGGGATATTATTATGGTCAAGGAGAATGAAGAAATATTCTTTATGAATCTTCAAATAATGTTGCATTTCATTTTCATTATCTTCAATTTTGTTTTGCTAATTTGGAAGGCAATAATGATGTTTCACGTCGTCCAGAAGTTTTTTTTGATGAGTCATATTATTATTTACATCATATTTCTCACAATACATGGGTTTCTTATCAAGATGTTATTTTAACACCTGGACATGATCCGTTGGTAGTAATTTTTGAAGCAATTATTGTATTCCAAAACGGACCTTCTAATAAACTATGCGGTGAACTTGTTTCAAATTCTGTTCATATTTAGGATCTAATAATTAAACCTTCAGAAAGTCGAGGACAAAAAAGAAATAATGCTAAAGGATGGGATGATATTCCTGAAGTCGTCAAAGGTGCTAATATTATTTCTGATCAAGTGGATTATTATGGAAACTTTAATGCAAAAATTTTTGAAAACCTTTTTTGATATTTTGTAAAACATTTCATGAAAAGTATAGGCCAGTAAACATTCACATAGATGGAGCAAGATATCATAAACGACGAGCTGAAAGCGTTCTAACTTCAAGTACAAAAAAAAGAAATAGCCGACTGGTTAACCACTCATAATATTGCTTTTCTAATGAATTACGAAGATCGGAACTTTTGGAGCTTGTTAAAGTACACAAAGAAAAGGTGCTATTTTCTTGTGTTAAAATAGTAGAACAATACAATCATCAAGTTTTTTTACCCTCCTTATCACTGTGAACTTCAGCTAATTGAGGGTATTTGGGCTGTTGTAAAAGGCGAAGTTGCAAGATCAGGTCTGCATCCAAACCTTTTATCCATTTAAAATACACTTCTAAGTACATTTAAAAAAAAATTAATTCGAAGGTTGTAGTTGGATTTTGGAGAAAAGCGCTTAAAATCACTAAGGAATATCTCGAGTCTAATGAAGATATACAATTAATTGATGATGAGTCCGATTACTATGATGATTCCAATTATGATGCCTAATATTCATATTTTTATATTTTCGAATATGTACTGATAAAATTTAAATAAGAAAAAAAAAGAAGTTTATTAATAAAATTTTTTTTTATTAATGATTTTTTGAGGTATATATCTTTTTGTACCAGACCATAATAATAATCTATTTAAATTTTGAATTAGTTTAAATATTAAGTATATGAAGAAGAATAATTGTATATGATAAAGTTATTTAATTTATTATAAATAAAATTATTATATAATATACAATTTTGAATATAAATATATATTGTTATCTTATGATATTAATGACTAAAAATTAGTATTAACACAAGATTAACAAAGAGATTTGGCTTTAATCAATACTTTAAGAAGAATTTCGAAGGGTTTATAAATAATTATTACTTTAAATGATAATGCATATTTAGAATAAACTTTGAGGATTTTATTATAAAATAAAGAATTCAATATAATTATATTTATTAGTATATAACTGTTATTAGTATTTATCTTGTTAATAATAAAAACTAATTGAATTCTAATTGTTTACAAAATTGTTTTATTACTGTTTTCTACTTTAACCAAGTCCTAAAGTTATCCTAAATCTATTAATATAAATAAATAAAATACTAATTAATTATAAATAATAAGTGATTAATAATATAAAATAATTAGTAATATAAAAGAAATTTCCAGCGACTTCTGGATTTTTTGCATAACCTTTATTTAATTTATTTCTTTCATCTTCACTGTTTTCGTTATCTAATATGATACAATTAATGTGATTTCTGTTCATGTGTATCATATTATGTCAGCTGATCTTTTTAATTAATTTTTTTCTATTACAATATATATAATTCTAAATTGATTGATGCTAAATTGATAAAGCTTAAATCTGAATGATAGATTTGTGATACTTTATAATTTTTTGTATAATTAATGTTAGAATTTTATTAAATTGATAATAATACTAGATTAAAAATGTTAACTATATATAGTTATAATATTCAAAATATTATATTCATTTGATGAAAGATATTATTTTTATGGAATTATAAGAAAATAATCTTTATAATTTAAATGTATACATTAAGTCTATTAATGCTAGTATAAATATTTTATCTTTACTACAATATATTCAAAAGAGATGTTTTTTTTATTATTACTGATTGATCTAGATAAATTTATCTTAAAATAGCTATTTCTCATTATATTTTATATCATAATCAATCAAATATTACTAATTTTATTTTATTATTTCTTTCTATTATAAGTCTTTTGCATATCTTATTGAATAATTAAAAATTAATATTCTTTTAATATTAACCTTTTTTTTTATTTATATATAAATGCATATTTAGAGATAAAAACCTCTTATATAAAAGCCTAAATTATAATATATTAATCATTTTTTAAAGATTTCTTATAATTTTTAGCAGGAAATTTTGAAAATATTAAAATAAAATTTGGACATCTATACAAAGATACTAAATATTTTACATTAAAAAACTTTCTTAATAATCTTATTTTTATAGTTTGAATATTTATACAATATTTTTTTAATCTAATGATTTTAATATCTATTTAAAATCATACTTTCATATGTAAGTATTGTTTTTTAAATTTCATTGCAAAAATTATACTAAAGCTTTATTAATATTTCTTTTAGATATATTCTACTAAAAGTTAAACAAATATTCTATCTTAAAGATTATTATTACGAATTTCTAAGTTTTTAGATTTAAATATATAAATATTTATAGTTTTCTATATTAAAGCACTTGAAAATACACTAAGACACAGCAAATTATTAAATATAAATATTATATTAATCAGTTACATTTAGATATTAATAGTTTTAAAAAAGCATTATACATATATCTATATAGATCACTTATAAGTATTTTACCTAAGATATTATATTTTTAATAAGAAAAATACATGTTTTCTTTTATAATATTTTACAATCTAATATATATATTTCTTAATAAATAGCTATTAATAATTCCATTATAAGTGAATCCAATTTATCTTTAAAGAAGTATCAAAAAATTAATAAAATTTCTGTTTTATTAATAATAATAAAAATGTTATATTAATAGTAATAAAAATGCTAAATGCTATCTTTCTTTAGGATTTAATGCTTTGTATAGATTAGATTTATTTTAATATTATGATATATCTAACTGTTTTATTTCTTTATTAATTATTATCATTATAGATCCTATTAAAGTTTTGACTTGTAATCATATTTATCACAAATCTTACTATATCAATAATAAATTTAAATATATGTATTGTCTCTTATTCTTACAAAATAGATAATATTAATATATTTAGTCTTTATTAGAATGCTTGTATAATTTTTAAAAATAATAGCAAACTGAAATTGAAGATTCAGAAAATAATATCTCATATAATAATAATGAAAATGAGTTCATAAAATATATAACATATGCATTAGAAAAGATATAATGTAAATTCAATAACAATAGATTATTTAAAAAGATAATTTTATTTAAAGAAACATTTAGTTATTTTTTTTTTTTTTTTTTACAAAACTAAGACTATTATATAAAATCAATACATTTAAATGCTAAATAGTTTCCAATGCAATAGTTATTGTTTAATGTATCACGTGACATGTATAAATATTTATACAAAATTCGTGTAGCATAATCGACCAATCATTTTTATGAATCACCTAATATGTACAATTTAATTTCATCTCTTGATTTTTTCTAAATTGCAACAAGGTCTAAAAATTTCGGCATACATAATTTCAAATTCAAATTTTCACCATCTACAATTATCATATTATCTGGTTTGTATAATTGATCCATGGATGTCTAAGTGCCTCCATTGCTGTCGTATTTTTTGATTTCAATTGGTTCACAAAATCATTCCCGTTACCCGTTATCAAATTACCATAACTTTCTATAAGCTTTCCCAG